GGGGGGGGGGGGAGCATGAGAAATTAGGGAAGGTAGAAGAACGAAAGAAAGAGAGAGAAAGATGACATAATTGCACTTGACACTGGCCCAATGCTTTGAAGATTCTTTTCCATTATGTGACTAACAATCCAGACAGCAGGTAGCTCTCATCATCATCATCATCATCATCGATCGTCCTCGGAAATACTCGGTCAATGGCCTTTTTGCTTGCTTGCAATGCGTAAATAGGCCCCTGCCTTTTGACGTGCACAGACGATTGGTCGACTATACAGCATATGCACTGTATAAGGTACAGACTATTATATATTTCAAAAAAATGATTATCAAGACTAAAGTTAAGTTTTTTCTAAACTCACTTGTGTCAGATCAATAATATATGTCGGTACGATAATATATTTTCGTTGCCATTGCAATTCGTGTTTGTTGACGAGCTTAATAATTTTTGAAATCACCTAATAAATGTTCTGTGCACGATCACTGGATATGTATGGCCCTCGTGAAATTGTTTTTTTGTCATAGCAGCTTAAGAGATAAAGATGAAAACTATTCGAATAGACACACAAGAAACGCGGACGAACATGCGGTGTGCGGTGCAATTGGATAGGCATGGTAGTCAGTCGAACAGATACGCACAATCGTGGAAGTGCTCTTGGGCTATCGCGATGAGCAAACACTCGTCTTGTAGATACTGCAGAACGCCGTTACGACTTTATCGCTTTCATATGCTTTAACGGACCGTTCGACATTGCTCTCTTACGTTGGCAGGGTCGATCGTGTCTTTTTAGACCGTTGCGATAATAAACGTATTTGCCACTAGGTGGCAGGCTGGCGCCAATTTGACGCGCCCTTCTTTTCGGTAATATTTACTTTTGTTTCGTAAATGCACGGAAAGTGGATACTTGGTATATAATATGTAAACTAATTATATGTAAATAAAATGGAGAGTAGCATTCACGATCATTCTGGAAAGTCTTGAGGATAAGCTAAGAAGAGGCTGAGAGCAATCGTGACGGTCGTCATGAGGATTTAGAAAATTCTGGTCTAGCTCGTTCTATGCTCGTTGTGTTGTCTGGATGAGAAGGTAAAAAAAGAAGAAAATAAAAAGGTGAACCAAGCTGGTTTGGCTTTGCCAGTGAGAGACGATACTGGTTTGGCTCGTATTTGTAAATTCGGCGGAGCCAGTGCGCCGTCGACTAGGAATCTTTTGATGTCGCAACGGGACAAAGATTCACCCTGCCACCTTCACATTCCACCTACCCCACCATAAAAAAGTTATCCCATGCGAGAAGGGAATTTCTCTTGAGAGAGAAAATGAGATAGAAAGAGAGAAAGGGAAACAAGCCCATACGAGATCCAGTCGCATTGAGTGCCTCCTTCACGAGACGACCTAAGCAGATTTTTCAGAAAATCTGACAAACCAAATACGAACCGTCATCTGAAAGATTCTAAAGGTATAAAAATCACACTGCTTTATCCGGCATACATTACATCTCTAAACAATCTATAAGAAGAAACAAAAAATGTCAGGTCCAATTGAAATATAATGCCAGACTAAAGACGTTTCTTAAAAACTAAAAAAGAAAAACGTATAATATCCAAGGGCGTGGTGGCGATTTTTCTTTCGATTCCCTGACACATAACTAGACTCTAATCTAGAGTCCCTTCATAAGTCCAAGAAGATATCTTCCCAGCTTTATAAGACTATTTCGCTGTATGGTGGGAAATGCTTCCCCTAAATTTCCCAACACACTTATGCCGCTCGGTTGTGTCAGTCAGACGTATACATACGCGTTCGACACAGAAGGGACTGCACGTAGGATTCGTATGTGATGACGGAAACGAACGAGTAGTGGGGAGGTACATTGAACCAATCAGCTGTCCCCTTCAGGTCAAACAACCAATAACAGCTGAGCTATCGGCCTGCCACCCTTGTCGATGCGGGGCGCTCAGTCACCTCGCGTCACTCGCTAGAAGCAAAAGGCAAAACTGGCAGTCGCGAGAGGGTCTAACACGCGGTTTCCGTGCAACCTCCCTTCAGAATTCATTCGGCTGCCACGGCGGTCGCATCCTCCTTGCTGCTACGAGACCCTCTTTTTCTTTTTCCTCCTCCATTGCCATTACTACCATTACCACTGCCACCACTACCATCGTTACTATACTACTACCTTGCTAACATAGTGATTACAACTACCATCTCATCACCATCGCCACTACTACCGTCCTTTTCCTACTCCTGCATCACAACCAGCAGCCACTTTTTTCTCCACGCCGATATAATACCACACCACGCAACCGTCCTTTAATAGTGAATAACACTTGGGCACCGGTGCTCCTTCTCCTCATCATCTTCTTCTTCGTAGCATATATATATATATGCACGTACACGTGCATACGGGATTTTAAATGTGCAAGAGACTGTGGTAGTGCGTGTGTCGGTGCGGTGGTGCGTGCGTGCGTTGAAAAAAGTGTGCATGAGTGCGTGACTCGAGGCGAGAGACGAAAAAAAAGAAGGATAGAAGAGGAGCGAGGGAGAAAGGAAGAAAGAGAGAGACAGTGAGAGTTTTGGGAGAGCCCACGGGCCAGTCCTCCAAATGTGGCATTTAAGTGCAACCACGAACGAACGCGCGGACCTCGTAGTGAACGCGAGATTCGGTTGAGATTTTTGCGAGGGGGTTGGTGTGCGCGATCTCATTCCATTGTCTTGTGTGGTGACAAAAAATTTTGCCGACGTAAACACTGGCCTTTTCTTTCTTTAAATATATATTTTACCTTTTTTTTCCCTTCCTTTCGTTTCGCGTTCACGTACCCCTCGTGGGCTTTGGTTACACGCGTTTATACGCTCAAGAGAAGTAGTGTATTTGGCCGTGAGGGGGGAGAATTCAAGAGAACGAAGACGAAATAAACAGGACACACTGGACGTCATGGGGATGACGGGTGACCCACGTAACATTTGCAAAATTTGAGTTTCGCCGGTTGCGACTCTGTCTGTTGCATTGTCGCATATATACATTTCCCTCTATATCTCCCTCTCTCCCTCGTCCTCCTCCTTCTTACCGACGTTCCTCCTTCGCCGTCATCCCCCTCAATACTTCACAAAATTGGATATATTTTGGATATCTCTTTGAAAAAAGAAAAATTTCGAACCACTCGACCAAGTGAGTCGTCACGAGAAATTGTTTTCACAACGACCGTAAACACCTATGTGTAACCGATACGCGCACATGCGTTAAATCCATACCCTGGTTCGCCTAAGGACGGACGTACGGCCACATCGCGGGGAAACATTGCCGCGAGCCAACGGCAGCCATTTAAATTTTTACATTCCTCTCGGACTCCCGGAAAACACGTAAGTTCACTTTATGCGATTGTAGTTTGTAATTTTTTTTGTATCGTTGCGTTTGGGAGGTGACGAATATTTGTTTTTTTTTCTGTTTCCCGTTGCCAAGACGGATTATTCGTAGTTGAGATTGACTCCTGCGCTGTGCTCACATGATTGCGATAATGCCGTACGTGATGTGCATGTAGAAAATGTATGCAACAATTGACTTTTGCTTTGACAAGCAGACAAATTATCGTGGCTCAAGGATCATACGGATTTTCAGTCACAGTATTTTAGATCGAATGCATTTGAGATGTGGGGTAGCTATATATTGTATATGTGTGTATGTGTGTGTGTGTGGCTAGGCGAAATATAATGCGCGGGTCTTTCTATTGAATTTCTGCTAAGCGAAACCGGTAGGTATTGCAATTTATCAATCCCGCTGAGACTGAGAGCGTACGAATGGAAACATGTGGTAAAAGGAAGCCGTAGTAATTCTCGGGAAAAACGAAATTTCCCACGAGCAACGTTACTGCCGTCGTCGGTACCCCAACGACGTGCGCGTTTTCAAATTCGTGTCAATCGCGATGCGTTTTGCATCTCGTGAGTGAATTTCAAAATTTACAAGACATTACGAATGTTTTTTTGGGTATTCATGCTATAAATTAGAAAATATCCGTCGCCATAGTTTTTGTGCGAAATTCTCAAGGTTATTTCAGGTATAATTCGTGTTGTGTAATACTAAAGTAAAATTGTCATGGGAACCATTTTAAACGACCCGAGTCCATAAAATTTGCACACCCTCGGAGGCCTTGTGGCTGAACCCTAAAAGGGCGAAGACCTTAGTATACATATATAAAATCAGAATTGATCGAAAGTACAATGCTGCCAATCGCGTAACACAATTCTAGTACACAATAATATACATATGTAGGTATAGGACAATGACAAAGAATATGTGCACTCGGAAGGTTACGTAAGTCGCGCAAGATCTCGTTGCCTTTGGCGGCCATCATAAAACTCAGAATTTTTAGATACGACTGTAAGCGCAGCGCGGCTGTACGCGAATGAAATTGGAATTACAGAACGGTTCAAAGTACTCCGGATTAAAAATAGTCACACTTGAGGCTAGTCGCGTTGAATACGCATATGTTTCTTTCTCTATCTCTCTCACACACGCACGCACACAGTCTCTCCCTCTCTTTCTTTCTCCGCCGCACGATTTTATATACATACAACATCTTCTTGGGTTAAGTGAGAACGTTTTTCATGTCAACTGATAGAAAGCAGCACAGAATGGAATTGTGCAATGACCGTACAAAGTGTATTATTGTAATGTGAAGATTCTCGGCTCTGATAAGGAGTCTTGCTACTTTCGTGGAAATATGGATTCTCTCTACGGGGTTGTAAAAGTCAAGCTGGAGAGGAGGAATGGCATATATTGTGAGTCGGTTGGTGGGGGGGCAGGAGGGGAGGCTGCGATTGTCGGTAAGCAGGGAAAGTCGAGGTGCTAGGAAGAAAGAAATATTTGTGCGTTATATATATATATACATGTATGTATATGTGTAGGGTGAAAGAGAGAGAGGGGGAGGGGGAGGGGGAGGGGGCGGCGACTGTGCAAGAAGCGAAGAAAGGGAGAGCGGAAAATGGATGTGTCGTGGATCGCCGAATATGGCGCGCAGAAAGAAGCTTTTTAAATGCGCACGCAGTCCTAATAAAAGTGCATTGGCCTCGAGTCGAGGCCCAGATAACGCAGCAATTTACACTCCTCTAAATTTGGTTCGCACCAGGGACTAAGCAAATATCCGTCGAAGAGCCGCGAGCTAAGAACCTTGAACCGTCATTTGTGTAGAGGTCTAACGAGAATGATCGAGAAGTGGATTATTGGGGAGAAATGAAAAAAAAAAGAAGTGCGAGCGAAAACGAACGGGACTTCGATTTCAGGTGTCCCCCTATTCGCCAAACAGAGAAATAGAGGTCCGCCGTATTCAGGCGTCCTCCTTTTCTTTTCTCGTTGCGTAAAGAGGGGACCCTTTTGCCGATTAAAATACCATGGGGGACCATTATTGGAAAACTGGGACGCTCTGATGGGAATATCCTCTCTTTTTTTTCATTCTTATTTTCTCAATTATATTCGAAGCTTCGGGGGTGGAATTATTTTTATTTGTAATAAAATCGATGGAATTGATCGTTCAGAGAGGCTGGTCTATCCGATGCGAATATTTAAAATGTTTTTTGGTGTTATGCAACGATACACTTGCTCTTATGGACCTGTACTAGGTGTCGCAAGCGTGACGGGACACAATGTTAAATCCTATTCATCTTTCGTGTCAATAGAACCGAAGGTCATTGAAAAGTTTTTCGGACCTGCATGTGCATTGTGTCGCGTTCACAGGTGCAACTGCGGCCCTCTTTCTCGTACCGTTGGAAATAGTAGATTCGCCCATTGTTCGCTCGAATGCATTTCCTCTCTGTTTATAGTATAAAGAATATTCAGATGAATTACTGACATAAAATCTATACTCCTTGTTACAGTTTAATTTTTTTTTTATTACTCCACAATCTGACCTTTACGTTGAAACTGATATTAATTATGTATTTTTTTTTATTTTTAGGAAACGAAATTGTGATGGGGACTGCATCTCAACAATACTGCCTCCGCTGGAACAATCATCGTTCAAATCTGCTCACCGTCTTCGATGAGCTTCTGCAGAACGAAGCGTTCACGGACGTGACCCTGGCCGTGGACGGTGGTGCGTCTGTAAAATGCCACAAAATGGTGCTAGCCGCCTGCTCCAGTTACTTCCAGACGCTCTTCATCGACCTACCCTGCAAGCATCCAATAGTCGTCCTGAAGGACGTGAAGTATGCAGAGATCAAGGCAATCCTGGAGTACATGTACCGGGGCGAGGTGAACGTGGCGCAGGAGCAGCTTGGTGGTCTTCTGAAGGTAGCCGAGGTGCTGAAGGTGAAGGGTCTCGTGGAGGAGAATGGCTCTCAAGGTCGTCGGGACGAGGGTGAGACGTCGTCGCCACCTCCAGCCATCTCCACGAGTACCACGAGTAGCGCAGCCCACAGTTCCGGACACATCTCACCGCCACACTCGACGGGAACGCCGTACAGTTTGTATGGGAAGTCTCCGGTGGACCGAGCCCAGGGTAGGCTCTCGTTACCCATGTGGGCCTTGTCAGGAATGCCCCTGCCCCAGCATCCTGCATCTGGTCATCAGCCTCCGCATCACGCCCAGCACTCGGCCATGCTCGGTGGATCCTATGACAATGGCTCTGATACCTCACCACTAAAGAGGAAGAAGCTCTCGAATTTACTAATGAATCGAGACACTCCTATCCTGAGAACTGTTCTTGGACAAGGTCATGCCGACAGTTCTCAGGGTATTCCTCTTCTGCATCCGGACAGCCACGAGACGCACTTTAGGTCTCACAGCAATGGGTCGGCTAACGAGGTGGATCGTAGGAACTCGACTGAGTTATCTCATGGGGAAGCCGCCGTTCACAGTCCTTACACTGACATCTCAATGATGGACGAGGACGAGAAGCAACCATCACCACAGTCCTATGCAGGAGACACCAAGTCCGGTACGTAATTCGATCCTCCTTACAGCATTGTGCATTGTACCTTTATCCAATAAATTCTTTCCCCCTATACCTGTACAACATCTCGTTCTTCCAGGTATAGTAAACTACGTACCGACGCAGAAGCCAGAGTGGAAGCGTTACAAGCAGTACACCAGGAACGACATAATGTCTGCAATAGAAGCTGTCAGGTCGGGAATGAGTGCTTTACAAGCAGCACGGAAGTACGGAGTGCCCTCGCGTACTCTGTACGATAAGGTTAAGAAATTGGGCATTACGACGTCCAGGCCGTTCAAGAGAAGCTCGAATGGCAGTGGTGCGTGTTTCCCTTATGGCATCGGTGGAAATGCCAATGGGGGAATCTATGGAGGTCTTTCCGAGTCGGAGAACGAGAATAGTAGCGCATTGATCGAGCCAGCGGCCGTTCTGGAAACGAGTTTTGGCAAGGAACGTGATCCGATCGACATGGCGCGATGCAGTCCCAGTCCGGCTGTACTTTCAGTATCGAAACAGCCCCAGGTTGAAGATCAAGTGGAAGACCTCTCCGTCGGCAGGAAGCCTGAATTGCGCGTGATCGTACCACCGGTGTCTTCCATAATCAAGGAGGAAGAACCGGATGCGCCTGACAACTCTGGACGCAACTGATTCACAAATTCGGATGCGAGCACGCAACACCACCGACATAAGACTGATTCTGCGTCGTAAACTTCGAGACTGATTACGATTCGTGCGGCCTGGCCATCTCTGGCAGAGGAGCCTCTCAGAGCACTGGATTTAGCTGGGCATCTAAAGTAACACTTAACCTATACCGCATTGTGATCCAACGTTTTAGCTTGCTACTCGCGATTTTTATTTATACATTCCTTGGAGTGGAATTGCCAGTTGGCTACTGGAGTGCAGTTGCGTGACGTTCGATGATTTCAATTTTAATGGTACGCAGAGCGACGTCGATTCTCTACATCTGACCTCTTGGAGCAACGAGGGTAAACGGGAAACAAATTCAGGTTTTCAGGTTGCGTCGATAAAAAGAAAAGACACTGAGAGAGGTCATCGAACGTCATGTAACTACTGTAGCATGTGATGCGGATGAGAATTGCGACTGTGAGGAAGTTCCAATCCAAGGAGATGCGTAATGGGGAAAAAAAAAAAATGAAAAATCGCGCAGTGCTCAAGTGAGCAAGGGGAACCGCGTTAACGTTACGGGATATCCTTGGAGAGCCCGCAAAGAGTATAAAAGAAAAAGAGAGAGAGAGAGCGTAACGAGAGTCGCAAAGTCTTTCAAAGATTTTGCGCGTATAAAGATGAAAATGATTATAAAGAAAACCCCGTAGATACGACCTGATAAAAATGACGGACTTTCCAAGGAATACTCCGTGGATCGTTTATACGGTGTCTTTGTTTATTATTATTATTATTATTATTATTATTATTATTATTATTATTATATTATATTATATTTTTTCTCTAAATTACGTTTCGTCGGCCATTCATTAAGCGAGAACGAATTTCGCGATGTAGATTTATATTGTTTAAACAATAGTCCGCACAGCCCCTGAACCGCGCACTGCTCGCTCCCCTCTCCCCCTTTTTTCATTAATTCTCCTTTGACTACGCATTCTTTATTTCTTCGGTATTGGCGAGAGGCACACAAGGGCTGATGAGAAAGATCGAAAGATAAGGGAGATCAAGGACGAAGGAAAGGGAGAAATAAAACTAAAGAGAAATCCCGCGATGCATTAAATGCCGCGACGATGCAAGAAAGAAAGACAGAGAGAGAGAGAGAAGAAATTACACGAAGTTTCAACAGGGGAGGATACGCGTTCGAAAGATATAAATAAAAAGAAAAAGAGTAAGAAGCATATAAGGGGTTTGAAAAAAAAAAATCAAGAGCGATTCTTTACGTTGACTGAGATAAACTGTTGATTCGTTATACGAGAGAAACTTAAGCTTAGCATTAATATAAGGGATATATCCGAAAGCCCCTTCTCCCCCCGACCAGGACATACCTTCAATCCCCTTTCTCTAATAATAACGTACACGCGTAGATAAATATAAATATTATATATTGTAAAGGTACACTCGAGAGTGATAAGGAGGGAGAAGCCGATAGGATGGATACGTGAGACAAAGAGAAAGAAAGAAGAAAAAAAAAAGAAAACTTATAATCAAGCAGCATGGCCCTGGGATGCAGATGCAATATTGCTCAAGCGAAAACAAAAGAGAGGAGGAATGAAATATCGTAATCGAAACATATCGCGTGGACGGCAGGATATAACGTGGGCGGGGACGAAGAGGGAAAGAAAGGAAAAAAGGAAACCGAAGGAAAAAATACCGGAAAAAGCGTGAAACGGAAGAATGCGAGATATTCGAAATAATTGCACCGAATGATTGGTTTTTTTCGATGATTAATCGAACGGCATGTAGTAGAGTTTTAAACTTATTGTATCTATATTGTTTAGCGTCGGACATTTATTAACTTTAAGTAACTCGAGTGTGAATGGGATTATGTGAAAGAGAAGAAGAAAAAAATCTACCTCAAATGACGTACAACGAACGCGAAACGTTCGCGTGAACCCGTAAGACTGATATACAAAAAAAAAAAGAAACTAATAACGGATTGATGGGACGAAGTTAAACGATGTCGATGGGAAACTGTGAACGAGCAAGAAATTGAAAAAACAGGAATAACAGAAAGAGAGAGAGAGAGAAGCCGTAACATATACGTCACGACTACTGTCAATACCATAGATGAGAGAAAGAGAATAAGGGAATGAGAAAGAATGGAAAGTATAGAAAGTATAGAAAAAGAAAAAAATTAATTAGGCAAGCGACAATCCTCTAAGCACGCTGCTAAATAATACTATATACATATATATAGATATTTATATATATATATACAAGATATATATATAAATATTTATCTACCTCGATATAAATATATATATATATACACACATAAGTTATAAATATATCGTAAACGAACTATTCGGACCTTTATTAGGATTATATATTATTAATATTATTATATACCTTATATATATATATATATATATAATTATATATATTGGTGTTTATATATATTTATATATATATATTTTAACGTCACGTCAGTTGCCTTATCGCGCAGCCGTCCAACGGCTTTGTCTCGAAAAACAAAAGGAACCGTACTCTTTTTAAAAAAAGAAAGAACAAAAAAACGTTTCTTTTTTTTTAACGTAACGCCAAGATATTAGATGACTTCGCGAAAACCGCCATACTCGGCTAATGATTTTCTTGGTGCTTTTTTTTTTCTTTCTTTATAAACTCCAAGGGAAGTTACAGTTACATTGTCGTTCTGAATGACGCTCTGGGACCGCGTTATTTTGTATTACGTATTATAGCGAGAGTGACGTAATACCGGTTTGCGATACGAAAAAAGAAAGAAGATGAAATAAGGATACAAACATAACACAAGTACAAGAACAACGACTACCTCGAACGCCGTAAATCGTTCATTCCATAGTTAGTTACCATAAGAATGTAATACAGCGAAAGAATGTTTTGCTCTGTTTGAAGAATTATTTTTTTTTTTTAGTTTGTTTGATATCTTGAATTATTCGCGACGATTCGTCGTCGCGTCTCGTTGATCAACTGATTTTATTGTACGAACAATTAATTATTTTAACAATTTATTTTTGTCTCTTCGTCTGTTCACGACGTTCTGATTTTTTATGCAGTTTCTGTCGCCTTTTACATTGTCCTTCTCTTCGTCGTATTTATACAAATTTTGTATTTGTTGCTTGTTGATTTTTTTCTATTGTTGTTGCTCCGCTTCCTTCTTTTGAGGATCCACTATTGTTCGCAAGCAGAGCAATTCGTTCTTCCTCGAATCACAGACAGTACCTGCACATTCGCAATAGTACCAAAACTCTATTGTAGTAGGAATTTTTAAACAGCACTGAATTATATAGACAGGAATATATTATTATATATTATATCAACATATTATATTATTGTATGGGAGTCGGAAGTTTGACCGTAGAGAAGTCATCTTTAATGTAAAACCATGATCTGGTAGTCGAAGTCCCTATAAAGAATTTTTATCTACGATCCTGTAAAATGCCGGAACTTATTGTACATTGTCGATAATTAAGCGACGATTGCTTTGTTGTGCGATCATTAAACAATTGTTGTTGTACGGTGAAATTCGCAGCGGGCTTCGGCGTACCGGAGATTGCTTAAGGTATAACTTCTATTTGTGTTCAGAACTCTCGTTCTTTTCTTTTAAAGCTATTTTCTCTTCACGTTTTTCTTTTTCTTTTATTTTGTTTTCAATGGCCACGCGAGCTCGGATGTAAAACGTTATTAAAATGGAAAATAGAAAGGCGACGAGCTTTAATTTTAATATCAGGGATGTAACGAATTTGTCTTCTTTCACTAATAGTTTTTCTTATTTTTAACTCTCCATTTTGTACGTCTTCAGAAACTCCGATGTCTCTTTTATTATTATTATCATTATTATTATTAGTGTCATTATTATTTGTCTCGTCTTCTTATTTTCTCGCGGTATTTCTTTTTTTCTTTTCTATTATTTTTTTCCTTTATTTTTTATTTTTTTTTTTTACTTAACTTACCGTTGAAACTGCCGAAGGATAATGTACCGTCGAGTAGAGAAAACGTTTGTACATAATTCTAAGTGAAAGAACCCTCAAACGCTGCCTTAAACACAACCGCTGCTGTTGTATTATTTGTAAGACTGATTTTTTTGACTATGTTAGATATTACTGTGAAGATTATATATATATATTAGTATATAATATACAGAAGAAGTGTTTCGCCCACGCACGGGGTTATTAATTTCGATCGGATATATTGCGACCTCGTCGATGCGTGTTATCAATTATTGTGCAAGTTTGTTATGAAATATATTATCGATAGAATATCCTCCTCTATCTTGTCCAATTGGCTCTGCCGGTATACATTATTAATATATAGGAAAAACTACAATTTTTATTATAAGGTTATATATGGTTTTTGCTTGTCTACCATATTTATGTGTGGCAATATTTTGTTTATTATTCAGTTTTTTCGTATAGAACTTTACTTTATTTGACAGAGCACTTAAGGAGATAATGCTGGAAATTGGCTATCTTCAAAATATGCAAGTTCGCATCATTTGTGTCCTATGATATATCTGAAATAGTAACTTCATTTAATCTTTGTTGACGATTTATTTAACGTTTATACAGTATTAGGTAATTTTGAGTACTGCATGTTAATCAATGCCAGTTAAGGTTCGCCATTTTGGCCTGTGGGATTTTCATAGGTCAAAAAGTCTAGCTGATAAATCTCACTGGAGCATCGTAGAGAATTATACACGGACTTGCGCAACAGGAGGGTCGACAAAATATAAAGCTAGGTACGTCCAGGTCGCTGCACGCTCCTCGAAAATTGTAGTAAATCTTGAGAATTCTCCTCGAGGATAGCACGTCTTCTTTGGGAAGTTGAAGAGGCCAATCGAAGTTTAATTGTTAATCAGTGAATCATTCGAGGTGTTATTTTCGAAAGTCGTCAGGGTCTCACGAGGACCCTCCTCGAAGATACTGCCTCACGGTGGTCGAGGCATGCGTCCTAAACTCCGCGGGATTGATGTATCGCAAAGCGCAGGTACAAATGCTTGTATTTGCTTTGAATCTCTTTAACGATAATTACAGAAAATCTGGCGTACGCCACCATTTTGAACCTAGGACAACACTTGCAATTTGTTTTGAGAATTCCTCATTAATCTTTCATTTTCGTATTTGAAGCATCGTGTTTATGTACACTATACCGAACACTGTCTAATGCATTTACTTCTTTATAATGTGGATTAATTTATTGGAAAACAAATATTTAAATGAATTTACAATTATTTGGACTTAAAGTTTATCTTTTATTTTAGATGGACCAATTGTCACTATGTTATTTGCTTAAAAATTATATTGTGTACTTTAGTCCTTTCATTTTTAATCAGTGTTTGACGTTTGCTTTCATTTCACATTTCGGCGGATTGTACGTTTCTGGTTTATTTTTCATGAGAAAAGTATTTGAATTTTTGATGACAACGGAGTCGCGAAACTTGTAAGTTATTGCTTTTTATTTTATCCTTTCCTCGCGTCATGTGTTCCTTAATAAATGTATATGGTTTTGTCGTGTCGGAGTTGCGGTTAAGAATATTTAGGAGGGAATATTTTCATTTGATTTTATTATTTTCACCGGTATGAAGGATTTTAGGCAAATTATTATTGTAAATTTTTGTCGTCATTGTCGCTAGAATGTTTAGAAGATGTACTGAGAAATTATACTGGGGCCCACGCATGGTTAGATTGCACATATTACTGGAGTAATTGTTGTATTTGGTTATATTTTGTTAATTATTGTTGCAGACCTGGATCTGTTTTCTAACATGCTGGGCAACAGTGAGCTTGACAATTACCTTGCAGGACGAGGCTTCATCAACTGTCTCAACTTCGCAGTGTCTTGCAGAATGCATATGCCTCTCCTTCACACAGGTTTGTTATCCTTACACTAATAGCATTTTGCCTCTGTTATATTGTTACTGATTTTATTGTTGTAGGTGTTATGCAATACGGGAGGCTTACACGAGATTCCCAATGGGAGTTTGCCATTGACCGTGGAAGACTTGTCTCTGACGAAGAATAACTTTCCTATTATACGTAGGGAAGCCTTTACTGCTCATCGGTATTTACGTAAATTGACTCTAGATGGGAACAATATCTCTTTGATCAAACCCTTTGCCTTTCGTGGACTGCCCCATTTACGTAAGCTATCCATTCAGCATACACCACTCTCTTACGTGGGACAGTATTCGTTTGCTGCTCTACAGAATATTACAATGCTGGTCCTGGCACACAACAAGATTCGTTACATCGAAGGCTATAGTTTTGCAGGCACCGATAATGTAAAGTTCATCTTCCTAAGCAATAATCCCCTAGTGACTATACAGAGCTATGCATTTTCGGGACTCAAGAATGTCGAAAGGCTTATTTTACCATCAGGAATCAAGGAGATCGAATCAGATGCATTTAATAATCTTCAACATATCGGACTGCTCAAACTAACATACATGGATCTGAAAAGACTCTTGCCGTACACGTTCAGAGCACTTAGCTATGTGCATGTCCTGAGCATTCAGGAGAGTGATTTGGGCGTCATCTACAAGGACGCGTTCACCGGTCTAAGACGGATAAATAACTTGAATATCCTAAACAATAAGATCGACGCGATCAAGCAGCTCAATCTGTCGGCCGACAACGAGATCGGGACGTTCAGATTCCTTGGAAATCACATACTCGAGGCACCTCGTGCAAGCGATACGATCCTGGATGTTGGTACGATCAGTGCGCTGAATAATCACTTCCCTTGTGACTGTCAGATACATAACGTTCTGGAGAGCGATTTCGTCAACGGTTCTACGATGGAATTCCAACTGCATAATTTCTGTATCTCACCAATTGAATTCAACGGGAAACCAATGAGCGTCGTTGACTTCGACGGGATTGCCAAGTGCCATGAGAAGGTCTTCAAGGATAACCTGGGCTCCCGTGGTCAGGATCTTCGGTCGACCTTAATACTCATCATGTTCTTCCTCGCAGTCAGCAACTTCTTCTGAAGAGAAGAAGGCGACTCGCTTCGTTAGTCAGCTTCCTGCAGTCAAGAGGATCTCTTCTGTTCCAAGGTGATGACCTCCAAGGCCACATTAGAATCGTCATCCTCAAGGAGAAGCAAGGAATAGTCTTTCTTAAAGAAGTTTGATGTATAGGTATCCTACCTTGAACGAAAGATTTCCTTGTATACGCATTTCTCCAACACCTCTTCGTACATCCATCCAGGAGAAAATCCTCCAAGCTTTTACTCTAGTCCAATATCGAATACAATTCGTGCCACCCGAGAGCTTTCTAGTCTAGTCAGTAGACGTAAGTTTACTTTAAGCTTTAACGAAAATGAAAGTATTTAAGATAAGGAATTGCATATTCAGTATTATCGGTTAAGCAAGTCGAGATCACGCTCATTATTCCATGGACCTCATTAATCCTAGTCATTTTTGAATCTTCGAGCCGACTCGACTCATATTTTTCTTTCTTTTTAGAATCGAACCGAGTCCTACAGTCTATACTTATATCCGACATCAGTCAAATCATCCAAAAGGTCATCTTCTTGCAGCTAACAATGTCCTACTTCTTAAAATCCAGAAATTACCCTCAGAATGAATATAGAAGGTAATGGACTCGGGTCTCGTCGTGTGTATTTGGCTCGTCGATTCCTTACCATATTTTATCTTCCCTTTTGAAGACTCCAGTCGAATATCCACCAGGGCTTTGACTACACGCTAAAGCTTCGGTCATTATAAATCATATTAAAGATTCTTCTTATTGCGAACGAAGTAATCGTGCATTCACTTTAGAATGATAAAAATAATCATTTATAACGATCGCCGTTAATCAATGCAATCGTTTGTATTTGGACGTGTTCGAGGACCAACCTAGCTCGTATTTTTTACAGAGTCGAAGGACCTCGTCAAAGCTTGCCTTCCTTTCATGTTTAATGAATCTCAAACAATATACAAGTTTGTCGTAAGAACAATAAATAAATTAATTCAATTTTAACTTCCGTGAAAAGCTTTCATTAACAATGAATATTTTACAAGTTTATTGAGTGTTTGTTTCTTGTGGAGTTTATTACAATATTTCAATAGCGGTGATTGCTTGACATATTCTTGTTCACTATGATCTTACGCTGTAACCGTCGTTTCCTTCAAGGTCAGGAAGGTACTCGTAATCACTAACTTCTCGTTTCTGCTACTGATAACCGTGTATTTTCTCATTACTGTACACTAATTTCACCATTCTTAAAAGATGGGAATTGTTTTTGGCAGAGCTGGTTTGTCGAATTCTCCAAGACTCTCTTTGTAATGACGGTTACTTTTGTGGAGAAACATTTCCCAGTCTGCTTGGGTTTCCATTTCGATTGGATTCACACCCAAGTCCTCTAGGCCAGGCATACCTTTCACGTATTTGTCACTCGTTGCTTCCTGATGAAAAGTAGAAATAAACAGCAAGTGTAATACATGGTACCAACTCAATTTCTATTGTTTTATATAACATTTTTTGTAATCTTCTTTTTCTTTACTATTTAACTTACTTTCTCTAGACCTTCCCAATGTAAATAAGCCATTGGCCATGCTGGGCTGATTTTCTCGTTAATGGTAACCTTTAACTGGAAGAAATACGAGGTTTCGACATCTGTACGGGCGAATCCTAAATCCGGAGTTTTTCTCATGATGCGGAATAAATAGTCAACAATTTCAGAAAGCTTGTAACGTTTAGGTCTGAAAATTGGAAGACAAAAAGTACTGAAAGTTGTCTTATTGATTTTAGTTTACAAGACATTTGGCATTTGCCAATGGTTTTTGTTGTGGCTGTTTTTATACTGACCCTAAAAATTGATAGGTCTTGCCAATAGTATTGGGATCGTTGACGAGTGCAGTGATACCAGCAGCAACGTCGCCAGCCCAGAGTGGTTGCTTTTCGGTAGCTTCCCCCTTTTTCCAGATAGGAATACTCCTGCAAAGGATAAACTTCAGTAAAGTTTTAGTTACATTAGATTTATGCTGTTAAATTAGACTTACTGAAATAGTGTCCTCCATGAATGACCAAAACACTTAAAGAATCTGTCTTCTTGACCAAAAATTGTTCCAGGTCTTACAATAGTAGCCTCAGGAAACTCTTCTTTGACAGCCTGCTCTCCATACCATTTGGTTTTCATGAATTGGGAACCATTCTTGAGCAGCATTGGCTATGGAGAATAAAGAGATGAGTGACAATTAGCTGATATGATACTAAATTAAAAATTAACTAACCGTTGGATTAGGATTGGCACCTGCTGAAGATACATGTATAAAGCGCTCAACGCCACTCTCTTTTGCAATCCGAGCAAGAGTCCTGGCACCCTCGATGTGGACATCATTGAAAGTGAAGTTTTTGGTTTCCCAGTCACGTCCTATTAGATTGATCACTACATTACTATATTTAACACAACGACGAATTGACTCTTCGTCACGCAGATCGAAGGGATGGAAAAGAATCTGCCCAAGATCACCAGCTACCTTGTAAGGCATGGAATCATACATATCGCCACGAGTTGGCAATATCAACTACACAGAAAGGAAATTTGCATTAAGCATTTAAGAAATAGGTTAGATATGTTCTATACTATGAGACTCAACGGATACATTAAATAGTTCACCTGAGTTCCAATCTTTCCCAGTCGATTGATAACATATCTGCCCAGAAAGCCGGTATTGCCGAATATAGTACATGTAATTCCATTATAACTGCTACGGCCACCAGTACCTCTTTTCAAGCTTGCAGTAGTTGGGTTCTTTATGATCCTGGGTGTATCCGAGTAGTAACAAACCTGCACAGCTACTCCAGTAGCACATATTGATTGTCTCTCTAGGAAAATAAAATTGCATAAGATGCACTTGTACATAAAAAGAATATTATCAATATTGAAGGCAGTATAATAGTACAATAACAGTTATGTAATTATTTTTAAACAATTCATTGTCATGCAAACAAATGAATTTTAAGTGAACACATTAATTACATAAAATCAAGATTTAATCCAAGCAAGGTAATTCTATCAGGTTCGGACGCTTTATTCTTACTTGCGACAGCAAAAGTATTTTTTGGTATTAAAGCAGCCATCTTCGCGAAGGCCCCGACCACCTTAAACTACAAATTCTGCGCGAGGCAGAATAGTGTAACCATCGACATATAATACCGGACTGCTCACTGTAGTCGCAGAAAGTGTAACCGGGAATAGAAAGAGAGAGCAAATCGTAAGGACCGTTCTGTCCTTCTCTTGGGCAGGAGCGGAATCAGGAATAAGGAAACCCCGCGCAGTAAAATGTATGTCTCATGATGAACTTTATTTATATATTTTATAAGTTTGATTTAATCTTATGTTAACCATAAAATTTAAGGTTATATTTCTACCTTATTTACTTGTGAAAGCTTATCGTATTGAGCTCAAAATACAGGTCTTGCGATAGCAAACACTCAAGACAGCGAATCACCATTTTTTTTAGTAATATTGAATTTTGATAAACACTTCTGTCTCCATGATTCGACTGTAACAACGTACATTATAGATGTGCGGAGTAATCTTTAAAAAGTCGTTTAGTCTACTCCTAGGCTGCTGAGTGACTCCAAACCGAGTCCTAGCCTAACAATCTCTAACGAGATTGAAAAAATAATGACATTTTCTAGAAAAGAGATAGTCATTAATATTGGTCACGTAAAAAGACGACACTTCACACCCAATAATTAAATTAATATGGCAAAAATTTCATAGATCTTAAAATAACAGAGTAATCTTTCACATGGTTCTTATTTTGCATATTACGTTCCTGAACTCCTTCCATCCAGAAAACCTTTGACCAATAGAAAAATAATAGAAAAGGACAGAACGGTCTTAACGATTCGCTCTTTCTTTCTATTCCCGGTTACACTTTCTGCGGCTACAGTGAGCAGTCCAGTATTATATGTCGATGAGTTTAACTCATTATATTCGTACTGATTCGTATAGTAATAAAACGAGAAGATTAATCCTAAAGACTATGTAGTCTATTCAACACGCATAAAAGTGATAGAGTAATAAATGTAATTCTATAATTTGTACAATCTAGTAAAGTGTTATAAATTAAATTTATATCAATTTATTTACAACTGCATAATTTTTAGGTCTTGCAGAATAAGACCGCTGGGTTTGCACTGGACCTCAGAACTTGGCTCCATTAGTGGGTCATAGTTAGTAACGTCCTCAATATGCGCCACTTGTAGCGCATGAGTTCCTACTCTGCGATTGCTCATTGGTCGGAAGTACTACTGGCTGAGGTAGAGGGGCATCAGCTATGGGTGTGTTCCGAAATGTACTGACAGTACATACTGCCAGTACCACAGACCACTTATTGGAGACACGGCTCTCCCGTGCTTTAGACCAGAGATGAGTATAGGGAGATGCACAACGCTACGGTTTTAGGCGATACAAAAATCATGGCGCTAAATCGTAGCGGCAAGTCCGGAAGTAGGATTTCGTGATCATCACCTCCGTCGACAATGCGAATTCCATCGTAGCCGAGCTAAACGTTAACAGGAACGCGTAGCTTAGTGGGCAGAGGTTCTCCGATACTTACTGCTGGTTCCCAAAACAACCCTTAGAACGAGACCAAAAACTATAGAATTTTTCAAGATTTATTGTGAAAGCCTATTGTTGAAACATTTTTAAGACATTTTTAAGAAAGTGCAGTACCAACTTGACACCCGTGTAGCGTTTTAACTTTTACTCAATATTATTGGATCTTGATTTACTTTGAAAATTTATTCAAAAAATAAGATTGACGCTAAATCAAAATCTCGCAGAATATATGGAGTAGATAAAAATTTAATTGAAATTGTAGAATATCGAAAATAAATTAGGTTCAAATTGAAATATTAATAAATTAGGTGTTTGAAACACCAAAATAATTAATTAAATCAATAAAGTAAAATATTAACACTTAGAAATCGGAAATTCTGGCCAAGTATATTTCGAAGTATTGCAAGTTGTTCAAAATTATGTGCGCGCAAATTCTTCGCGCAGAACTCGGCAAGAGGGAACAGGCGGATGGTGGGGGGAGCGCTCGAGGCAGAGCCCGGGACTCACAGCGCTCATTCTTCCTCGAGCCGGTCTCCTATACTGGTCTCTTGGAAACATTCCTCATATTCATTTCCAACCTTCTTCTATTTTTATATTTATTTCTTCTTGACTTCGTTATTTCTTTATCTTTCATTCTTCACTTTCTTATTTATCTCTTTCCTCATTTCTTCTCCACTTTCATAACTCTATTCCTTACTTTTCTACTTCTTCATTTCATTTTTATATTCATTTCATTCTTATTTCGCGTTTAACTTCACCTTACCCCCTTGTGCGTTTTTCTTGTCCCTCGACCCGACTTCCTTTCCTTCCTGAGGTTTTTCCCCCCTAGTCCTGTGCGCGAAAGCCGCAGGACTCGGGGGTTTTCCTCAAAAAAAACAACAAAAAAACACGGTCCCCTATGGGGCCTCGGAGGGGTCGTAGCTCCCTTCAGGAGAGGCAGGACCTCACGGAAATGGGCGGGGTGGGGCCCATTTCGCTCCCTTAAACTTCCTACTTTTCCCACTGTTCTCTTTTTTCGCTTCTCCAGAATAATCTGGTCTTCGTGCATACGCTTTACGCATCTTCTTCTCCCCTTGTTCCCTCAGTCATCTCTCTTCTTCACTGTTTCTTTTTAACAATCTTCCTCTTTTTCCATTCAACAACATCTTCCCTGTCTGCTGCCACCAAACATTTCTACTCAATTTTTGAATCTCTTATTCCTTACTATGTCTCCATCACTCTCCTCCTAGTATATCCTTAAAAACTAAGTTTTTAAAATGTCCTTTGGAAAAAGGAAAAATTAAAGTCGTAGTGCATATAACATACAACACGTATATTATATTGCAGTGATATATGTAATATATCTTTAATGGTACTGTTATTACGCGGGCTGTATGTGTATGGATGTATGCATGGCTGCACTTTGTATACTATGTACATTGTATGACTGTATGTATGTTTGTACTTTGCATACTATGTACTTTGTAACTGTATCATTATTACGTTTGACCAATAAATTATCTTTAAACACATATACACGTTGATATTCTTTTGCCCTATGCGAATATCCCAGAGTACGAATGAGTTCTGTCTCTCTCTTACTCTCCTCCGTCCTAACTGCATCCTTCTTCTACTCCTAATATAATTTGAAATTCAATTTTCGAAATTGCACCTTTGGGAGGCTGTATCTCGAAAACGGTTGGATCTACGGCTTCTTCTTTGAAATTTTGAAAGATCTCTTAATGCAGAAAGATAGAATGGTCCATAGAAGAGGCTGGTACAGGTTAGATTGCGATAGGGCCACTTTCAAAAAATTCCTTTACTTTTTGGTACTCGCAGACATTTTTTTGAATTTTGAAATTATCAAATATTCATATTAAAGAATTCGGATTAGTTCGAATTTTCGCCGATAAGAGGGCAGCACCTCCTGGGCATGATATGTAGCGCCATCTCTGAGAGAACGAGTGAACTTTCTCGAATAAAATAATTCCGAAAGTAATTCGAAACTCAGCTCTATCAAGCTGGTACAGATGAAGCTGCAATAGGGCACTTTCAAAAGATCCCTTTACTTTTTGCAGCTTGCAGATCGAGTGAAAGTAATGGCAGAGAAACTGCAGCATAGCCGAAAAGGGGTGTAAAGCGTAAGGTTGGAGGAGAAGGAGAAGGATGCTGTTAGGACGGAGGAGAGTAAGAGAGAGACAGAACTCATTCGTACTCTGGGATATTCGCATAGGGTAAAAGAATATCAACGTGTATAAGTGTTTAAAGATAATTTATTCAACATATGCAATAAAGATACAGTATACAAAATATATATGTACATACATATATGGTTTGCAAAATATTAACAATAACAGTACCATTAAAGATGCATTACATATATCACTGCAATATAATATACG